ATCAAGTTAAGTTTAAAGCAGGAGATTAATTAAATAATTAAATAACTATATAATTAACATGGGAAAATTTTATTCTGGAATTCTAGGAGCGCTAGAGGTTGGAATTTTCTCAACCTCAGTGCTACAGACATTTTGGGGCAGATACATCTTTTTTGGCTGGGGATTGCTCTCTGCATGGTAGGATGGCTATTCATATCCTTGGTCAATACCTGCTGGTTTCCAACAGCACTTCTGCCCAAGTTGTGACAAAAATGTCTCCAGACATCGCAAAATGTGCCACAGGAGGAGAGGGGGATCACACTTGTTTGAGAACCACTGATTTTATTTATGCACATACACACACATATATAGGTATATATATTCACACACACCATATCCATGAACAATGCATAGTATTATTTTCTAATTCACATACATTGTCTGGTTCTGAGATACTGTTCTATGCTTTGTCCATTCACTATAATGTCTTTGAGATTCAGCCATATTTATAAAGATATAAACTGCTTATAAATATTTGCTGTATGTTGGGTCATCTTAAGACCATATCACTTTTTTTTATCTATTGTAAGACATGTAGACTGTTTCCAGTTTTGCCACAAAAAGTCATTCCTCAGTGAATATTTTTGTCCGTGTCATGCTGAGCATGTGTGTGATTATTTTAGATTGAATAAAAACCTCATAGAATGTATTGAAGTCTATTATAAATTACCAAATTGTTCTCTGCACAGGCTATGTTAATTTACACCCCCATTGAGCAGTGTATGTGATTCTGTTTACTACAGATTCTTATTGACAGTTAATACTGATGAATTCTTTCATCTTTGACCTTCTGAAGAGTGAATGTGGGTATCTATCTTACTGTTATTTTAATTTATATTTCCCGATTATTAGTGAGTCATCCCATTTTAATCTTGGAAGGACCTTTGAGATCTTCTAGTTAATGCCATGTTTTAATGATGCAAGACTAAGAATGTTTTCTTACTTCCTTACTACTTTCATTTTTCTTTCCTAAGAATATGTTTTTAGTCTCATTGCCTTATGTCCCTTATTGTTGTGGCTACTGAATTCAGTGTCTCATCCAATGGAAATCTTTCTCCTTTGCCATGAGGGTGGAATATGTACAAAGAGAGAAAAAAATGAAAGAGTGATACTGCAGATTTCTCCCTTGCACCATCTTTATTTTCACTAGCAAGATGTCTGTTTCCCAAAGTAATTATATTTGACACAGGGCCTAAAGCAGCGTGGGTACTCAAGTGTTCCCATGAATGATGGAGTGAACCCCAAGATGCAAGGAGTGAAAGATGAGGTCCTCTTAGCAGCTTGAAAATACCCCTAGATCCAAGTGGTTTCTATATTCTGCAGCTTGAGCTTGACTTCCGATTCTGCCTGTAGCTGTGGTGGACTGGGAATTACTGATAAAGGAAGCAAGTGTTGACATTTTCCGTATTAGGATGAATTCCCCATTGAATTCTGACCCATGCTCTCGTGATCAGCTCTCTTGAGGCCAGCTTCCCAGAGGCTAGCTGTCTGGACCAGCGGAATTGACCTCTGGGGCTGGGCAGCACGTGCGCTGTCCTTTGAGGCTAACAACTTCAAGACACTCTGGTTTCCCCTGTAAAGCCTTTGTAGTATTGGAGGAGGATTGGCTGGGCTGTGATTCAGCCAGTCTGTGTTTTTACTGCCAGGGAATGAATAGGCCTATCTTCCTGACTCCTTTTCTCCTGTTAACAGGCCAGTCACCTGAGTCCCAGGAAGCACGCCACACATGACTTCAGTGCCCCATGCACACACAAGTTTAATTGCTTTGTGATTGCCTAAAATGTGAAATGAAGGAAGACGTTGTCCATAAGGATAGCATTTGCATTTCATGTCATCGCACATATTTGCATCAGTCAAAGCAGCATGGAAGTGTGTTTGCTGTACTTAAATGACCTATCTTGATTTTGTGTTTCTCTGTGATTTGGAAGAAGAACTGCAGATAAGTAAGCTCTGGGTGTGACAGACTTGGGGGCAGAGGAGAGACAAGGTGGAGGCTGGGGCGTGGGAAGGTGGTTGGGAAATTGGGCATTCCAGGAGGAGGGAACAATGTGTGCAAGGGCTGGGACCTGTAATAAAGCCTCACCTTTTTGGAGGAATTCTTAGGTTTTTTTGTTTGTTTGTTTGTTTGTTTTTCCCATTGTCATTGTTTTGGTCTTGAAGTATAAAAAGCACCCATGCCTTATTCTTGGAAAAGATTCATTCAGATAAAATCCCATTGTCACTCAGTTATACTTTCTCACACAACCATTTCAGTCCCCCAGTGCTGGTGGCCCACATTACCAGTGCTTCATTGGTCTGG